TCAAATAAATAAATAAAATCTTAAAAAAAAAAAAAAATCTTTAGTTTCACAGTCAAAGTCACAGTGTTTAACCTCTCCTGCCACTAATAATTTACTACTACAAAGAGAAGTCATCTTTATGGACTTTTCCAGACTGATTTAAAATATATTTTTATTACCAAAGATTTCAAGTTAGTCAAAGATCTTAAAGTAAACAATTTAGCATCATCAAGTATATAACTAAAAATTCACAGTTCTGGTACCAGTATGACCTATTCCAGCTTCCCTTTCTTCTTCCCCCTAGTAGACTCCTTTTCTTGAACTTCTATTTGATGTGTCGAATTTTCTTATTTACTTTAAATATATATGATAAACAATTTCAGGTGGCGTTTTTAAGACCATAATGATTCCATGATACCTTTCACAGCTTAAAGAGAAGCAAAACTTAGAAGATATATATGGAGAAAATGAAATTACCAGAAATGTGCTTATTACACTTTTAACCAGGAGAAAGTACAACTTTCATCTAGTGGTTCCAGATTGATTAGGCTATAAATTATTTTAATAGCCAAAGACTGTATTGAATAGCAAGAAACCAATTAATGTTCTCTGCCAATGTAGATGCAAATTAATGAAGTGAAGAAAAATTAATTTAACAGCTTACAAGAACCTGAGATCAAGGTCTAGCAAATGACAAATATATTTTCTAAAATAATATACCAATGCTTATCAGTATGAGTAATAATTTAACATGTAACACTGGAAACCAACAGAAAATTCGAGAAAAACTTCTGTATTGCTGTAGGAGGAATAAGGACTCCGGAGAGACCCTGTCAAAAAGGTCAGCACTACTTACAAACTGAAGAAGGAATGACTGCTCTCATGGCCTTCTGATCCGAGGTGCAGTTTGATTTAAGAGATGGTAACGATAAAGACTTAGAGAAAAGATTATCTTTAAAAGACCAGATACCAAAGAAAAAAGCAGGCATATCTATCTTTCCATTTATTGGGGAGGGGTTTTTAAAAACACGTTTCTAAATCTGACTACCAGTTCTGGGAAAAACTTACCCAATGAACACAGAACTGGTCAGACAGATGCTACAGATACACTGTTATCCATAGATGGGTGGCAGCTGGTTTGAATAGCTAGTTTATTTACTCGGTCATGATACTTCATTACACACCATATGGCAAAATCTGAAACATCAAATCCATGCCTTAAAGGTCAAATTTGGAACTGTGGTTTGACAATCATGAGCCAGTAACTAGCAGAGATGACCGAGACATCAGAGTGAATGGTTCTAGTGGTAAATTTTGACCTAACAATCTTTTTAACTGTATTATTATTATTTTATTATTAAGGACACTACTGCTATAACTGTCATGAAGCCGAGACTAGGTTAACAGTAATGAGTTCTAGAGGTAACTATACCCCATTCTGGACTTCTGATTATGACCATTCAGTCCATCAATGTCATGGCTTTCAGCCAGAAACAAGAAAAACCTAAGCTGTGGACTAAGATCTGCAAAACAAGATGTGATGGTCAAGGTTATACTAAGTATCAAACAAGGAGAAGCAAAACAGAAACACGGGTAACTTCTAATGGAGTTGAAAGCCAATGGATTTTACAAAACAAAGACAAAAATATATATAAATAAGTGGCTGGGTCAAACAAGGAGCCTTGATTCTGAACACGATCAGGATTAAATGGATAGCAAAGCCAAGAAAACAAAACAGGTTAAGCCAGAAGACAAGAAAACTCAGGGATTGGAGTTTACTCATTTATTCTACGAACATTTACTGAAGAAATGCAGTTTGCTGAGGCAAGTGCTATGAAAATATAAATATACATGTGCTGGGCAGAATGATCTCCAAATTATAAGGGGGATGGATGAGGTGGATACAGGTGATTTCCTCTGTGTAGAGTGCTCTCCCGAGATACGAACACATGCCTCTCTCATCTTACTCACCTCTCTGCTCAAAGGCCACTGTTCTATCACTCTGCTTCCTTTTCTTCTTAGCGCTTCTCAGTTTCTGATACTATATTACATATTTGTTTCTCTCTGCCTCAATAAAATATTAAGTTCCAAGACAGGAATTACCTCTTCTGTGCACGGATGAATGTCCAGCACTACTACCACACCCAGCAAATATTATTTCAATTAGTATTTCTTAAAAGAATGATTACATTGCTTTATTAAAACTCCAATAAGCAGAAGTATGTACATAATAATAGACTTTATGAGAAAAGAGGCAAATGACTGCTTGTTTGGGTAGGTGAAGAAAAATTAGAGGATCCTGGGGTTAATGTAGATGCAGAGGAATGTGCTGAACAACAACAATCTCTAGCTACAGTGACCCATCACAAGAAAAAAACTTTGTTATTTTAAATGCCTATGTTAGCTTAAACACTACAAAGGCTCAGCCCTGTTTTGCTGCCTAACTTATTTTCTTAAAAAACATGTTACATTATATGACACAACAGTCAAGAATCCAGACCCCCTACTACGTAGCCAACTATACCAAAACCTCTTCCTTGAATTTCAAGGCCATTTGTAAAGTGGTTCCTAAACAGTCTCTGCAACCCGACTCTTCAGTATATACCAGTGTCCCAAACTCAAAGACGGCCAAACTTTGGGCCAGGCCTGCTCCCACCACCAGGCCTTTTCTCAGCTTCTGAACCTTAATCTGAATGCCAATCTTTCTTCTTTTTCCCACTAACCCCATGCCTGTTCTTCAAAGACTAGCAAAAGTTTCACTTCTTTAATTATTCTCTGAAATCACGTTTCCACATAAACCTTTCCTCCCCTTGAACTTGTACTGGATGTATAGCCAACATCACACTCTTCCATGTATACCAGTTTTTTTCTCTCCAATCAGACTGTAAGAAACCTCTATTTACTTCCTTACAAGCACATAGTGTAATACTGAGGACTCAGGCACTCAATATACATATAAACATACATTTATATGTAGTTGATTGGATGGCTAATTTTTATTTTCTGTAACCCAAAAGAATTATTTCCAACTGGTTACTTACCATATCAATAAGGCTTTCTTGTATTCTGTTAAGAGTTGTTCTTAGTCTACTACTACTAAGGCCTAGTCCTGTTGATTCCAGCTGAAAAAGAAAAAGAAAGGTATGCTACATCACTTTGGAGATAATCTTTTATATGTTATAACTTCAAATTAACCAAAGTTAAGAATCTGATGAGTTTTCACTCAGATACTTAGCCTTCAGAGGGTCTCCAAACTGTATTTAAAAGTTTCAAAACATCAAGCATATTAGTCAAACCTTAGCCTTTAAGGGAACAAAAGAACTACTTTACACATTTGCATTTATAGGTCACACTAGCATCTGTCAACCTAATAAATTTATCAGGAGAGAGTTCACCAATATTTCTCTTTCCCAGAAGTTATTATTTTTAGTTCTAAAACTTACAATTTCAGATACTTAAAGATATTGCACTGTGTCGAATTTATGTAAAAGCATTATAATGTAGACTGTTTTAAATTTTCTTTGCTTTTTTTAAAAGACTTTATTTATTTATTTGACCCACAGAGAAAGATAGCAAAAGAGAGAGCACAAGCAGGGGGAGAGGCAGAGGCATAGGGAAAAGCCGGCTCCCCGCTGAGCAAGGACCCCTAATGCCGGACTCCAGGATCCTGGGATCATGACCTGAGCCGAAGGCTTAACTGACTAAGCCACCCACGTGCCCCGTTTTAAATTTTCTAACACAAATTACAGATAGCCCAAATCCTTATCCAAAAATTAAGGAAAGATTTTATTAGGCTCAGTAAACATTTCACAGTATAGACTTTGCTTTACTACATCAGAGCCGAAGCACTTGTAAACATCCTCATGCAAGAATATAAATGAGAAGGGACACTCGACTGTTGAAATGAAAAGCTGGGGCGCCTGGGTGGTGCAGTGGGTTAAGCATCAGACTCTTAGTTTCAGCTGAGGTGGTGATCTCACGGTCATGAGATCAGAGCCTGACAGTTGGCTCTGCACTCAGCGCGGAGTCTGCTTGTCCCTCTCCCTGTCCATGCTCACTCTCTCTCTCTCTCAAATAAATAAATACAATCTAAAAAAAAAAAAAGGGCATGAAAAGCCAGTTAGTTGGCTCCTTAGTTGATGATTCAATTGATGAATATAAATTTAATTTAGAGGTAATCATAGCTACATACAGACATCTGGAAAAATGTTAGAATGTTCTATATGAGCCAAAAAATTTAAAACATTGGTAACAGTAAACTATAAAATATATAGCCTAATTCATTCATAGAAAATTATAATATATATGGCATGCGCACCCATTTATTGCTCCTCATCCTTTCCTATCTGAGATAGGATGAGAACAAGGAATTACTTACACGACACATGACAGAAAGCCTCAAGCTACAATAGTGGTGTGATGGCATGGTGTAGTAAAACATGAACTCATGTAATATGGTTATTTTAGTTTTTTAAAGATTTTTTTTTTTATTTTTATTTATTTGACAGAGAGAGAGACAGCCAGAGAGGGAACACAAGCAGGGGGACTGGGAGAGGGAGAAGCAGACTTCCGGCTGAGCAAGGAGCCCGATGCGGGGCTCGATCCCAGGACCCTGGGATCATGACCTGAGCCGAAGGCAGACGCTTAACGACTGAGCCACCCAGGCGCCCCGTAATATGGTTATTTTAAATAAATTTTACTTTCATTAGGTTTTATAAACTTTATTACTTCATTTCCCCTCTTTTTTCACTAGGGCCTTATTTTTGCACAGTTAAATTTAGCCACTGCAAATATATAGTTTGAGAATTTTGGTAACTGTATACAGTCCTATGACCAGTACCACAATCAAGATGTAGAATTTCCCTCACCTTTAAAAATGTCCTTAAGCCCTTTGCATGGATTCCCTCCCTCCACCCTTAATCCCTGATCTGTCACTGCAGTTCTGCCTTTTCTAAAATTTCATATAAATGGACTCATACATGTGTAGTTTTTTGTATTTGACTTCTTTCTTGTATTTAACATGCTTTTGAGATTCATCCATGTTGTAAGCCTATTAGTAATTCATGCTCTTTTATTGCTTAATGGTATTCTATAACATGGATATATCACAACCTGTTTACTTATTCATCAGTTGATGAACATCTGGGTTCCAGTTTTGGGCTACTTGAATAATGTCACTATGAACATTTATATATGTGTATATGTCCTTGAGAAGACATATATTTTCTGTTCTTTTGGGTAAATACCTAAAAGTGGAATTTCTGGTTCATAAAATAGGCATAGTTTTAAGTTTGTAAGGGACTGCCATACTGTTTTCCAGTGGCTGTACCAATTTGCATTTCCATAAGCAATGTATATAAATTCTAGTTATTCCATTTATGGACTGAATGTTTGTTGTCCCCTCAAAATTCATATGTTGAAGCCCTAACCTCCAACGAGATGCTATCTAGAGATGGGGCCTTTAGGAAGTAATCAGGTTTAGATGAGGTCATGAGGTTTGTTGCCCTTTTAAGAGACATAGCACATAATTTACACTTCTTTTTCTAGTTTCTTGGGTGGTAGCTTATCATTAACTTGAGACTTTCTTCTTTTTTACTACAGGCATTTAAAGCTTGATACTTCCTTTTAAGCACTTATTTAGCTGATACATTGTGTTTTCATTATTATTCACTTTAAAATATTTTCAAATTTCTCTTATGATTTCTTCTTTAAACCAATATTTATTTAGAAGTGTGTTAATTTCCAAACACTTAGATTTTTCCTACTTATCTTACTGGTTTCTAATTCAATTACATTGTCATCAGAGAATATATTCTACATGATTTTAATCTTTTAAATTCACTAGAACATACTTAATGGCCCACAGAATATGGTCTATCCTGATAAGCATACCATGTGCACTTGAAAAGAATATATATCCTGCCACTGTTGGGTGTGTTGTTCCATAAACATCAATTAACTGAAGATGGTTGAAACTGTTGTTCAAATCTTCTATGTATTTGCTGACTTTCTATATACTTGTTCTGTTAGTTACTGTGTAGTTTTAAATCTCCAGCATAATGGAATTTTTTTTGTTTCTCTTGAATTCTGTCAAGTACTGTCTTATGTATTTTGAAGCTCTGTTAAGTAGCCACATACACATTTATGCTTGCTATTCCTTCCAACTGAATTGACCCTTAAATTATTATGAATCCCTTTATCTCTGGTAACACATTTTGCTTTCAAATTTATTTTATCTGATATTAACATAGCTAATGCAACTTTTTTTTTAAGATTTTATTTATTTGAGAAGGAGAGGGAGGGAGGAAGGGAGGGAGAGAGAGAGAGAGTGTGAGCACTCGTATGAGCAGGAGGGGCAGAGGGAGAAGGAGAAACAGAGTCCCCGCTGAGGGGCTTGATCCCAGGACCCTGGGATCATGACCTGAGCCAAAGGCAAGACTCTTAACTGACTGAGCCATCCAGGTGCCCCAACTACTGCAGCTTTCTTAAGAAAGCAAACACTTACTGTTTGCATGGCATATCTTTTCAGTGCATTTGCTTTCAACCTGTATGTGTTTTTTTTATATTTAAAGTGTTTTTGTTGGGCGCCTGGGTGGCTCAGTCATTAGGCATCTGCCTTCAGCTCGGGTCATGATCACGGGGTCCTGGGATCAAGCCCCACATCGGGCTCCCTGCTCAGCGGGGAGCCTGCTTCTCCCTCTCCCACTCCCCCTGCTTGTGTTCCCTCTCTGGCTGTCTCTCTATCAAATAAATACATAAAATCTTTTAAAAAATGAAGTGTTTCTTTTGTTTTAATCATTCTGACAATCTCTGCCTTCTAATTTGATTGTTTAGTCCATTAACATTTAATGTGATTATTGGTTGGATTTAAAGCTACCATTCATTATAGGTTATCTCTTTTTTGTTCCTTGGTTCCTCTTTTCTTGCCTTTTCTGATTATATGAATATTATTTTTTAGAATTCTTATTTAATTTTCCTATTGGCAAAAGATCTAAAGTCTTAAATATTATTTTTCATTGTCCTATGAATTACAATATACATTTTTGGTATTTCACAATCCATTTGCTGTTAAAAATGTTCTGTTTAACATAATATATAGAAATCTTGCCATCTTATAGGTGCATATCTTGTTATAGTTGTTTTATGTAATATATTTACATATATTATGAACTCCAGAAAATAATGTTATGATTTCACTTTTAATCAGCTATATGGTTTATACAGAAATTAGAAAAAGAAAAAAATAATCTTTTGTATTTCCCCAAGTAGTTTCCATTACCAATGCTCTTCATTCTTCCTTGAGGATCCAAGTTTTCTGGTATCATTTTCCTTCAGCCTAAAAAAAATTCCTTCAGCATTTCAGTATTACATGTCTGTTGGTGACAAGTTGTCTTAGTTTTTCTTTTATCTAAAAATGTCTTAATTTCACCTTCATTTTTGTTTTTAAGATTTTATTTATTTATTTGAGAGAGAGTGAGAGAGAGAGATCGCATGAGAGAGTACAAGCAGCAGCAAGAGGGAGAAGCAGGCTCCCTGCTGAGCAGGGAGCCCAACATGGGGCTTGATTCTAGGGTTCCAGGATCATGACCCGAGTCAAAAGCAGACGCTTAACTGACTAAGCCACCCAGGCGCCCCTCACCTTCATTCTTTAATGATGTTTTGCTAGATATAAATTCTGGATTGACATTGTTTTCTTCTCTTTCAGTACCTTAAAGGTATTAACTCTCTCCTAGCGTCTACAGTTTTGCATGAGGAGTCAGCTGAATCAGATCATTGGTCCCTTTATGTAATAAGCCTATTGTACTTTTCCAGAGACAGTTTCACCATGAGGTATCATGCTGTATGTTCCTTTGTGCTTACTCTGCTTGCTGTTCATTTAGTATCTTGTATCTGCAAATTTTTGGCCAGTGTTTCTTCAAATATTTTTTTTTCTACCTCATTCTCTCTTCTCCGTCTGGTATTCCAATTACCTGTATATTTGATCATTTGATATAACTTAACATGTCCCTAAGGCTTTGATCATTTTGCTTTCCAATCTTTTATCTCTATGTTCTTCGTTTTGAATTATTTCTATTGACTTATCTTCAAGTTCACATATTCTTTCCTCTGCCATGTCAATTTGGTTGTAAAGTACATTCAGTAAATTTTTTTTAATGGCTGAAATTCTATTTTTCAGTTCTAGGATTTCCCTTTGTTTTTTTTTATTAATGTTTCTACTAGAACTTACTATTTTTCTACTGAGATGTTCACACATTTAAAACACCTTTTGTTTTACTTTATTTGAGATGGTTCTAATAGTCCATTTAAAATTCTTATCCCTTAGTTTCAACATCTTGGGGTCAAACTAAATTGATTTTCTTTTTACTTAAGGATGTACTCCACTTTTTTTGGTTTTATGTATGTTGGGTAAAGTTAGCTGCATTATCAATTTAATTCTGGAGATTTTGGATTTTGTTATTTTTCTCCACTGGGCACTGTTTCCTTTGTTTTCACTATGTAATTTTCTTGGCTGGGCTCGTACTACAAACTGTCTCTTATGCAACAGCTTCATTCTCTGTTCACATATTTTTTTTCTTTGGCTCTAGTCAATCTGTTTCATATGAACAGGTTATGGGTTAATCAAATATGGGGGTAAAAGATTTGGGGGATTGCCTCTCTACCTCTTTTTCTTCTGAACTTCCCCCTACTCTTTTCACTTTCCCAGTTTCCTGGCTTCACTTTTCTGGTTCCCCAATCCATAAAGACTGAAGGTTTTCCTATGCCTGCCTCCACCTTGTGCTGTGTGAACTGTATTCAATCCTGGGCTACAAGGCCAAGGAGATGGAATTTATTTTTATAGCTCCCCTTTCCCCAACCTACACAGTAGCATGAACTGCCCCCACCACCCCTAGAGTCTATGCTTTGTTCACTCTCCAGTATCTTTAGGTAGTTGCCTTTTGTGTAACATTTAGGTTTTATAGTTATTTTTTTTTTTAAGATTTTATTTATTTGTCAGAGAGAGGGCACAAGCAATGGGAGCAGCAGGCAGAGGGAAGATGCAGGTTCCCCGCTGAGCAAGGAGCCCGATGCGGGACTCGATCCCAGACCCCGGGATAATGACCTGAGCTGAAGGCAGACGCGCAACCTACTGAGCCATCCCTATTTTCTACAGGGATTATTATCTCCAGTAAAATCTTAGTCCTTCATAGCCAGAAGCAGAAGTTAATTCATTCTTAAAAGTTCAAAAACTGAATCACAGACTCTATATGGAAAAAAAAAATCTCATTAATGAAGGTAACTTTAAATGATGCTCACAAACTGTTTTCAAGTAAGAACACTCATCAGATTTACTTGGATAAGAAATAATTAGGACATCAATACATGTGTCCTAAGAATCTACTATGTGCTTATTACTGTGTTAAGGTAAGATACAGAATGGTCTTCATGAGATAATATAAATAACAGGAAGAACTACAGAAACTATAACTCAAAAGGTGAATAATGGAAGGCTGGGGGCAAGGCAAAATAAAGCAACACTGTAACTAACATTATCATAATAGAGCCAAATGGATTAGATACATAATAGAGCATGATGTAGTAAGTTATGAACAGTTCAGCAAAGAGCAAGAGCGTCTGAAGGAATTAGTATGAACACCAAGAATCCCTTAGCCTACTGCATACACTATGGCTCCCCAGCCAATGACTTTCTAGAAACCCTGAGAAACATACGCTTATTCTTCTACAGGCAGCATCCATCTAAAGTCACTCATACAAATGTCTTTCTTCCCTGGAAGAGAAGCAGGAGCAATCATGTACCACCATGTTCTTCCAGTTCTACCAGTTACCTAATTACTCCTCCCCTCCTACCACCTAAGACTCAACAGCTAACATGGCAATTTGGAGTATGTATGTATGTATGTATGTACATATTTGAATATCAAAATTTCTAGGATTTCTAATGGACTTGAAGGCTGATCTTCTTAGCAAATTAAAAGCTACCACTTCAGTCTTATACACTTGTATATGCTTATTTATGCTATTTAGATTGTCTTGTTCCAAAAGGAATTTAAAGTAGGAAATTAAGAATATAATCTTGCAAGGTAAAAAACCCAGAAACCTTAAATAGATATAAAGTTAAGCAAAGCATGGGGCGCCTGGGTGGCTCAGTCAGTTGAGCATCAGATTCTTGATTTTGGCTCAGGTCCTGATCTCAGGGTCATGGGATGGAGCCCCACATGGGGCTCCATCCTTGACAGGGAGTCTGCTGAGATTCTCTCTCTCCCTCTCCCTCTGTCCCAGCCCCCACCTGAGCTCTCTCTCTAAAATAAATAAATAAATCTTTAAAAAAAATTAAGTAAAGCAAAATATGGGTAGAAAGATGGAGTGGTTCTTTTTACAAATTTGTAAAACCCCTTTTTATGGAGATTCAGTCTTTGTTTTGCTTTAAATAGTGTTTCCTTCAGTTTTGCAGAATCAAAAATAGTAGGGTCCAAATTATAAATTGTTCTATTTGAAGATGTGCATATTTTCAATATTCACATGGTAGATAAAAGCTAGTATTACTAAGCATACTCTAACAACAGGAAAAGTCTTTCTTAAAAAGTACAAGACATAGAGGCAGCACTGTATTCATACATCCTCACTCATAGGCACATTGTATTGGTTCAAATAATACAAAATGTTTCTAATATGACATATGTATAGACACCCAGGTTAAGGACAGAAATGCTTATAACTGACAGCTAATTAAATAGCTGTTACTGAGTCTTATAAGACTGAAAATGCTTTTAATATAAAACATAAGGTTAATGTGTTCTTTAAAACATGACATATTTTAAATAAAATATGTAGCATATTTTACAATAAGCACCTAACTATATTTTGCTAACTTTCTCAGGTCCTAGTAACTCCACTGTAAACAAATCTGTGCCAATATATAATCAGCTAGAAATTCATGTCCAAAAGCATTAGTTCCCAAAAGCTTCCAAAGAATCCTATTTTAACACATCTTATCAACAATGTGGTCCACAAGTATTCTATCCAATATGACAGTCCCAGCCACATGTGGCCATTTATATTTAGAGATAAATTAGCTAAAATTAAATACAATTAAAAATCTGTTCCTCAGTTCCTCAACTAATCACACAAAGTGCTCAATAGTCACATGTGGCTAGTGGCTACCATAATAGCAGAAATTTAGAGCATTTCCATGACTATAAAATTTCTCTTGGACAGTGCTGGTCTGGAGGCTCAGCTCAGGAGAGAGAGTAAGGCTTATCTAGAAGACTTAAAGATTCTGACAATTAGCTAAAATTCTAGAATGTCTTTCTTCTCTAATATTTATTTATTGAGTTTCCAAATTCAGAGCAATGAATTAGTACGTATTTTATAGTAACCTAAATTCTGTAGCAACACTCTGACTTTATTAGTATTCTTTCTAAGGAATATTACAGAGAATTAAGAACAGGAAATTCAGATCCCATTATTAAAAGATCATGTCTTTGGGGCTCCTGAGTGGCTCAGTCGATTAGGTGTCCAACTCTTGGTTTCGGCTCAGGTCATGATCTCAGGGTCATAGGGTTGAGCCCTGTGTTGGGCTCCACGCTCAGCACGGAGTCTACTTGTTTCTGCCCCTCCCCCCACTCACACACTCTCTCTCAAATAAATAAAATCTTTAAAAAAATAAAAACAAATAAAAGATCATGTCTTTGATATAACTGTAATCACAGCAAAGATATGAACATTTATATAATAAATGTAGTTATCCATTAAAACTCATGTTTTTATTTTTTATTCATTTATTTATTATTTTTA